ATGTTGCCGAATGTCCTTACATGAGCATAACGCTTCGTATGTATATATATTTTATGTTTACGTAAAGCCTGAATCCACTCCGGTACTTACGCTATACGACTTAAGGCACATAATGCTAAAGCTGCTAATAATACAGCAATTAATAAAGCAAAGAACAAAAGAAAAAAGAAAAACTATCAACACGCAATAACAATAAATAGGAAGTCAAAGAAGAATATTATTAAAGAATAATAATAATGTCCTCCAGACCGAATTTCGGTCACGGCGGCCTGCCTCAACGGAGACTAGCCATTGGCGCAGGACAGGATTATTGTGCCCGAGTGTATGCGCAAGCACAGGTGCACTCTTAATTTTTTGGCCCGACCTGGGATTCGAACCCAAGACTACTACAACCGCTAGACCAACGAGGCAGTCATAAAAAAATAACCATGTGGTGGCGGTGTAAGTATATCCACTAACTCATATCATCGCGTGGGTTTCGAAAGAGACGACAAAGGCAAAGAAATCAGATAGGCAGCAGCGTCTTTTTAATTACGACAAAACACTGCGTTGCCAACCCGCTTGCCAAGCGTGACAACTATGGCAAATATATCCCTATGAGGCAATATATGGGGGAGGCCTATATTCAGCTGTGGACTTTAATGGGCTGTAAAGGTTGGATGTATAGAAGATAATCTATCAGGAGCACATGACCCAGTGAGAGGTGAAATTATTAAATCGACAGTAACATTACAACTATGGCAAATATCTCACCTATGAGGCAATCTATGGGTGAAGCCTATGTTCAGCAGTGGACTTTAATGGGCTGTAAAGGATGGATGTATAGAAGATAATCTACCAGGAGCACATGACCCAGTGAGAGGTGAAATTATTAAATCAACAGTAACATTACAACTATGGCAAATATCTCCCCTATGAGGCAATCTATGGGGTAGGCCTATGTTCAGCAGTGGACTTTAATGGGCTGTAAAGGATAGATGTATAGAAGATAATCTACCAGGAGCACATGACCCAGGGGTGAAATTATTAAATCAACAGTAACATTACAACTATGGAAAATATCTCCCCTATGAGGCAATCTATGGGGGAAGCCTATGTTCAGCAGTGGACTTTAATGGGCTGTAAAGGATGGATGTATAGAAGATAATTTACCAGGAGCACATGACCCGGTGAAATTATTAAATCAACAGTAACATTACAACTATGGAAAATATATCCCCTATGAGGCAATCTATGGGGGAAGCCTATGTTCAGCAGTGGACTTTAATGGGCTGTAATGGATAGATGTATAGAAGATAATTTACCAGGAGCACATGACCCGGTGAAATTATTAAATCAACAGTAACATTACAACTATGGAAAATATATCCCCTATGAGGCAATCTATGGGGGAAGCCTGTGTTCAGCACTGGACTTTAATGGGCTGTAAAGGTTGGATGTATAGAAGATAATCTACCAGGAGCACATGACCCAGTGAGAGATGATATTATTAAATCAACAGTAACATTACAACTATGGCAAATATCTCCCCTGTTGGCAATATATGGGGGAGGCCTATGTTCAGCAGTGGACTTTAATGGGCTGTAACCGATGGATGTATAGAAGATAATCTACCAGGAGCACATGACCCAGTGAGAGGTGAAATTATTAAATCAACAGTAACATTACAACTATGGCAAATATCTCCCCTATGAAGCAATCTATGGGGGAGGCCGGCCTATGTTCAACGGTGAACTTTAATCAGCTGTAATAATAATACTTTCTAAAGAAGAGAAAGAAATAGTATTAAAAAAGTAACAAATATAAACAGGCAGTTAAAAATAATCTGACGCCTAATCAGGTCCACGTTTCAACAAATTGCTGCATTATGTTAAAAGTGCTGATTTTCAATGGGATTTTCAAATGGAGCCCAATTTTGACTTCACAAACGGAAATAAATGATAGCAAACGCTATATTTTAAACCATAACATCAGATAGAATAATGGGCTGATAAGGAAATAATTAAGAAAGATTTTTTCAGTACTTTTGTGTTTAATATTTTTAAATCTAAACAAATTATTCTCCAAATGGCATGGTGTGTAGACAAATTAAGGCTCTGACTTCATAAGCTGTTATGTGGAAATTATGGTTTTTTTCACTTTATTTTGTAATTAAATTTAAAACAAGTAAAACATTTACACGTTTACATTTTCAAGTTTAATTTTTAAAACTATGAAACTAAAAAGAGTCATTACGTAATAGGTCGGGGAAAAAGTTTCTTCATGTTTTGTTTGTATAAAATTGAAGAAAAACCTCTTTGGCTGTACTGATTGTATCTGGTTTGTTTTAATATCAATACATATAGGACATTAAAAAAAGTAAACTAAAATCATTGAACTATTATGTACTACGTACTAGAGGCGACACTGCATTCAGCTACTCTGTTCCACTCAACTGCGGTGCTTACATCGCACTTTAATCTATAATCTATAATCAGTCACTCGCTAGGAGCTTGTAGAGCAGTCACGTGTTATGTTGATTTAAGAAAAATCTCTTGATAAAAATATGCCGTCGTGTGTACTTAGATATTGCACAAATAATTCAATATATAAAATAAAAAATAAAAACCAAGGAATTACTTTTCATCGGTTAGTATTAAGATACTCAATAAAAAAGTATTATAGATTAATAATAAAACAAATTATTCCTAAGACGCCATCTCGTGTCATGGAATATAGATTATGAAATTAATATGTTTAGATGCGACATTTCTGTGGGTACTTAAGTATAGGACGAATATATTATTATACACATTTTTTTGTAGAAACATATATAAGTTATTATAATTAGGCTAAATTTTTCACGTCTGCTTATTATTCTTTTATTTTATTTTTAGGTTTCCACATCAAAGTCAAAGTAGAATAAATTCGTCCATTTTTAACTCTCGCGTGCCCAGCATTTATGAACGACTCTTATTCTAATTTAAATAAATATATTTGTAATTTAAATGTTATGTTAATAAGTTTTGTTAAACATACATTTAGTATGTTTTTTTATATTTGACATAGATAACTTTTAAAATATTCAGATAAAAATATCATTAAAATGTAATTGTGATATAATATTATGTAATATTATATTAAATACGCAAATATATTATACAATAAATGATAAAATTTAAATATTGTTCTCGATATAATTTACCTGTTTAACAACACAATCTACTATTACCTACGGGTCATTCTACCTGTGTTTATTCTATGATAAAATACTAACCACGCGAACACAGAGTAGCGCACATTTTTTGTTTTAGTTAGCTGTTCTAGTACGTAAGTACATATTACTTCAATGACTAAAATGTAAAAAACACTTTCCCGCCATTTATTAATTGTTTTTCTGTACACCAAAATCAGTAAATCTAACGAAGAAATTTGATACATTCTGAAGTTTTATTATAAAAAAAAAGGAAAAAAATGCAGTGTAAATAAGAGTAGCACAAAGCTGGCTCAAGTGTAATCCGTCCGGGAATTTTTATGTCAAAGATGCAGCAATTTGCTGTGTTTTCTGTGGTGTGTGTGTTAACAGTGGTTTCTATATTGTTTTATTATTTGTTTTGGTACCAAGCTTTAGTCTAGTATTGCAGGAACCAAAAACATTAACTGACGACAAAGTTTACACAAAAAAGTTAATATACATAAAAAAGTTATTTTTATTTTTAGATTTTTAGATTAGATTTTTTTATTTATTTATTAGTTTTTTTATTTTTATTTTATTAATTTATTTTAGACTTAAGATCAATTGATAAAAACCACTCCTGAACTTCCTATCTACCTATTCGTGAATTTTCGTTACGATCGGTTCAACCATTCCGAACATTATCACGCACAATCAGAAAGACAGAGAGAAAAACATTTAAAAAAAGGTTATCCATGTTCTTATAGAAACCAAATACCCCCTTAGCTCAATAAAAGACAGTTACTTCCATTCAACATTCAACTTTAAATTCAATTCTACAATATTCCCTGAGGACTAAGAATGGAATGCCTCGATTCCAGTGAAAACGGTTTCTGGTACTCTATACTGACCATACGAAACACAGCAGCATTACGCTGCTATTTTACGGTGGTATTCTATGAGAGCGTGGTCCTTCCCCGGTCGAGCCGTCCCACTCGTGCTACAATTATAATATAGCTGCAGCGTGGCCCTGCCATATAGAAATCCATATTTCTTAGAGTTGACTGGTAGAGAATGCCGTAGGGCATTAAGTCTGCCTTTTGTAACCCTTAGATGAGGGTGTATTGCAATAAAGAATAAATAAATAAATAAACTTTTACACGCTGTTACGGATAGAAATAAGATAGATGTGTGCGTAAGTGCGTGCCAAGAATGTGTTCCTTATCTCCTTTACCAGTTAGAAACCATTTTCTAGAGCTTGAACAGAATAAGGGTCAAGAAAAACAAAATAAAATACTCTAAGTTACTAAGTCGTCTGGGATTGAATATTGAGACACTAAATCAATTTCTTGGTACAGTTATGCTCCAGCTATATTAGTAGTACAGTTGTAGCACGGGTCGGTTCGACTTGGGTAGGACCACGCTCTCACAGACTACCAGCGTAAAATAGCAGCTCAACGCTGCTGTGTTTCGTATCATTGTAAGGTGAGTAGAGAACCGGAGATCCTTATTACTCTAAACGAGGCATTCCATCTTAGTCCTCACAGGTGACAACGCATCTGAATTTTATTTCGTAATCGAGGATAAATGTAGATGTTTATGGGCCACAGTAACCACTTACCATTTGGTGGAATGTGTACTCGTTTGTCACCCTTATCCCATTAAAAAGACTCTGCTTTCATCTATTATTTATCCTTAACCTTACAAATTTTTTTCTTTACCATCACACTAGAATTTTCTTCTGTACCGTGGAAGCAGTTTACATAGATAAATTGCATACGGACAAACAGTCAGAGCCGAAGAATTTATTTGTAGGCCGTATAAACACTTGTTCGATTCAAACCACTTAGCAGTGCAAGCCAACGCCGCAAGCTGTCAACTTATAGTTAAAATACAAACTTACCTGCGGCAGATGTCTGGATTTTCTCGAAGTTTTCGTTTCGCCGCCGGATAAGCATTTCCCGTTCGGTTCCAGAGCCGGTATCTCTGGCTTCGTCTTCTCTGGCCTCAATATTGGTACATTGTGCTTTTCGAAATAACCATTCTGTATCATTTGGTCGAGCGACACTTCTAACTCCCTAACTGCCACTAACTTGCGACCGCAAACCGGATCGTAGACCACCATTTTCCGGTTACAACCGGACACTTCGGAAAATTTCACATTTTTCTTCGGTTCGTCTTTCCTTGGCTTTGTTCGGGCACCATTCGGCGGATCAGTCGTCCAATAACGCGCGTTTTTTTCTGACAAGCGAAGCGGTTTGCACACCGCTACATTTTTAGGCGTTTTTCGTTCGGTTCTATTTAATTGGATCACCGGTTTCGGTCTACCTGCGTATACAGTATCCGGTTTCCGGTCATATATAGGTTTTCTTCTGGCTTCATGTGTTCTATAAGGCTCGTATAATTCCCTTGAACGGCGTCTTTCGTCGATTCTAAAGTCGTAATAGTCTTTCTTATATCTACGAGTTCTGTCTTCATAAGACGGGTAGTTTCGAGGCAATGTGCTATATTTAGTATCGTATGTAGTGGAAAGGTTCAAGTATTCGGGCCTTATTGGTCTGAACAGCGATAAACGTCCCTGAGCCTCGTCGAAATCGGAGTAAATATCCTCGAACACGTAGCCGTTTTTGCGTCTCGGTCTCTCGTAGCGGTCAAATCGTTCCCTATATCGGTTGTTAGCGAAGCGTTCCGGCTCGGACCGGTTCGGTTTAAAGCGTTGAGTCGCGTAGCGATTCTCGTAGCAAGCAGGTTCGGTTCGCTTCGTTACGTACTCTGTATCGTATCTACGTCTCCGGTCATACTCCTGTTCATAGTCCGAATGTCTGTCGTAAAGCAACCTCTCTCTAGAGCCCGCCATCCTTCGCTTGTTAGTTCTCTCTCTGAAACAAAAGATCGTATTTTAATGAAGGTACTGTCAGTAAAGGAATTCTCGTAATGGAGTCAAGCCGGGATTGCGGCACGCATTCTATTATGAAGGGAAGTATTATGGCTGGCGGGCAATCCCGTAATATTGAGACGGATTCATGTTGCCGGGAAATATATACTCGTAGCTTTGAATTTTCTGTGCCTGTTTTATTTCGTAGAAACATTCGCATTTCAAACGGTTTTATTTTTTAAATTTGTTAAAAGTTTTAATAGCCATATTTAAAATTAATAACGTGCGCTAACTAAAATTAATATTGAATAAAACTATCATTTACGGATTTTTGGTTTAATTACTTTAATTTATTTTTTATTCGGTTTAACATCACGGGTTTTTTTTCATAAATTAATATATTGTATTGTATAACCTCTTCAGTTATATAAGCAATTTTGTTTTTATAATTTTTATAAGTTGTATAATGAGCAAGGGCTCATGTTGGAATGTTTACCATACTTGCCACGCTTGGCGAGCGGATTTGCAACCGTATTTTTTTATTGTAATATTGCTGTTATCAGGAAGATGCTGCTGCCCATCTCCTGCCTGTCTCCCTCTGTCGCCTCTTACGACACCCGCGGGAAGATATGGGGTATTGGATATTGTCGATGGATGGGTGCACGGGACCGTGCCTTGTGGCATTCCTCGGGGGAAGCCTATGTTCAGCAGTGGACTTGTGAAGGGTTGTTATGATGATGATGAAGTTGTCTCGATTATGAATGACACCTACTACCCGATTTCCGATGCTTAGGTACACGAACACCACATTTAAACGAAACTAGTTTTTCCAGATTTTGTTGTGTTTATTAATTTATTTTGTATTCCCGGCGATAAGATCCGTAAAACTAGTTTCATTTATATGTATAGTGTTCGCGTGAAGATAAGAAATCCTTATGATACCTAATTATAAAATTATATCAATAAATTAGAAAATTTGTTACTAACGCTTTCAAGTGCGAATACCAGCTAATACTAGCAATGAAGCGTCTAAATATTTTTTTATATAGAATAAGGGTGACAAACGAGCGCACAGTCCACCTGATGGTGAATGGATGCTGTGGTCCATAGACGTCTACATTTAGCCTTGATTAAGAATCAGAAGAAATCAGAATCACAAAACGCAGATCAGAACGCGTTGCCACCCCTGAGGACTAAGACGGAATGCCTCGTAACCACTAAAAAAGGGTCTTCGGATCTCTACACTCACCATACGAAACAGCAGTATTAAGCTGCTATTTTACACTGGTATTCTGTAAGAGAGTCGTCCTTCCCCGGTCGAGCCGACCCATTTGTGCTACAATATAGCTACAGCGTGGCTCTACCACGTATAAAATATTAATATAAATTTAACATCCTTTGTTAATCTTTGGATAGATGACCCTAGCTATCCCTTTAGATAACTACGACAAGAAAATGGATAGAGAATCTTTTAATATGACGGTCGGGTTTTAATCGACCCTGAAATTTACTACTGGCCTCTACCCTTGTCACCCGTTACAGTCTATCAAAAGAACACCGCTATATACGTATAGGTTTCCCCCATATATTCATAGATAGATTAGTAATGACGATCGTTGTATCAGACGTCTCAAGCCTTTGATGCTGGTCATCACCAGTCTGGGTATTTCAAACCTAACGCAAAGAATTGGTTATAGCGCCATCTATCGAAAGCCATCAGATTTTCTGGCATTTGTTACAGTCGCCTCTTACGACACCCACGGGACTAAAAGATTTTGATGAATTATAATATATTAATTTTGATAAAGATATTGATGGATTCTTTTACTTGTAGCACGAATGTGTCGGCACGACCCGGGAGGAACCATGCTCGCACAGAAAATCGGGTTTAAATAGTTTTTTTTTATAGAATAAGGGTGTCAAACGAGCACACAGTCCACCTGATGGTATGTGGATGCTGTGGCCCATGGACAGGTGTCCACACATATATCCTCGATTAAGAATCAAAATGCAGATGCGTTGTCACCCCTGAGGACTAAGACAGAATGCCTCATTTCCAGTAAAACAGGGTCTCTGGGTCTCTACACTCACCATACGAAACAGCAGTATTAAGCTGTTATTTTACGCTGGTATTCTGTGAGAGAGTGTCATCCCCGGACGAACCGACTGTGCTATATTATGGTAAGCTTCGTGCTACTCATAATATAGCTGCAGCGTGGCTCTACCACGTAAGGTAGCTTAAAGCTGACGTGTTTCATATGGTGTGCGTAGAGAATGGAAGCACAGATTAGATAACTGGGTCCCTTTTTTACTTGCTTAGGCATTCGATCTTGGTCCTTAGTAGAAACGCATCTCCGTTTTGATTCTTTAACGAGGATAAATGTTGACATGGGACAGTATCTGCTTACCATCAGGTAGGCTGTGTGCTCGTTTGTCACTCTTAATCTATAAAAAAAGACAAATTAAAACGTACTTTACAACTTTACCTTACTTATTATAAGTTGATTAACGCTAACTTAAGTTTTTTTTCCTAATCTGGACCACAATCCCACCTGGTGGTAAGTGGTAACGTAGTCCTAGATGGTATATCGCACTGTCTTAACGTAACAAAAGTAAAAGTAATTGTACGAATTTTATCGTGTTTAATTTGTGTGTGCTTTACGTGTGTCGTAAAGCACACGACATATCGAAATTTTAAATAAGTAAAAATAAGTGTAGTATAGTAATACATGATAAAAGTGAGAACAGTTTTATTAAATGTGTCGTGTTTGTATAAATATAAGAAATCGGTCAATTAAGGATTAATAATCTATATATCTGTCTCTTTCTATTGCCGTATAGTAAAAAGAGTGAGAGTAAATTTATGTATTAATTCAATTACATCGATATTTACGAATAAGGTATGTAGCATATTATTTAAATACTCCGATATGCTAGCAACAAATCCAAGTAACTGAATGAGATTCACATCTCGCATCTACATACATAATCCAATTAAATGTCAGCCTCCAAGCATGTTACGTGTTACAGGATTGAATACTAGATGAGATTAGCTACTCCGGGAATAATTTAAAGTTAAACGAATTATATTAATATTATTTGAGTTGTAGGTATAGTTGCTACGCTATTTTAATCTGATTACGATGAAACTTTGGTGACTAGGTACTATAAGTGTTTTAAAACTTATTTTGAGTAGCATCTTCCTGATAAAAACCATGAAGATGCTGCAATCGCCTTTCATTTTTTTATGTTTGTTTTATGTTCTTTTAAGTTGAAACCCGGCACGGCGGAAGGTGGAGGACGGAAAAAAGGTGTCGAGGTAGACCGAGACTAACTTTCGAAGACCATGTGAGCAAATTGCTCGAAGAGGGGAGGGTCAAGAGTACTCGGATACCTAGACGTGCATGTATGAAGAAGTTAATGAACCTGAAAGAAGCGAAAAAGTTATGTAAGGATCGTGACACTTGGCGATCTGTTCTCTCTGGCTACCCCGTTAGGGATTGTGCGTGAAGATAACCAACCATTGAAGTTGAAGTTTACATGTATACATAAACACTCACGCCTGTCACCGGAAAAGGTAGGCAGAGACTACGGACTTCCGTTTGGCACGATCCTGACACACCACTCCAGCTTTTTCACATTAATTTATCAAATATGTAACGTAATTAACGCACACCCTCAGACTCCCCAATTAGTATATTATGTTATAATCATAATACATACACTGAATTTTTAGTTAAACATTTTTATGCACTGATTACTTATCAAATTAGTTTTGGTGGTTTGGTTTATGTTTTGGTCACAGTACAAATCCACGAACGCAAAGACTTTAACATTGAATAAAACTAAATTTACGGATTCTATCGCGTTTATTTAACTGATTTTACTTATTTTTAATTCCCGACGTTTCGGGTGCTTTACAGCAACCATGGTCACGGGGGGGACTGAGATGTTTGACGTCCCAATGTCATTGTTAGCCCGGCTACCTTCAGTTTTTGAATATTAATTTTTGGTCCGATTTACGCAAACTAAGACTTTAACGTGCTTGAAATAAAGTTCATTTTTCATTTGACAGTATTAGTAATAATACAAATAAAACTGCGCTCTTAAAAGTCTTATTGCCTTAAGTTACGGTCCATTTCAGTTTGTTTTGACTGTACAGATTTAGTGTGACTGTAATTTACGTAGTTTTAATTATTTTTGGGATAAAAAATTACCTATATTAAAAATGATTCAGTAAACGATTCTGAACAAACTACTTTCTCAAAGTGCGTTAATTATGTTACGTGTTGTAAGTTGTAAGTATCCGTTGCTATGTAATATAAATAAAAAGTACTTAAAACATTTCTTCATAAAGTCTAAATTCGAATATACAATAAAAAGAACTAATGTTACGAATAGCCGGAATTCCTCAATGAGCGACAATTTCTGGAAAGGGGAGTAGTGAGGGGACTTGATCTAAAATTATAGTCACTGCGAAAACAAAACGAGGTTACGATGGAATTGCTACAGGCTGTCGCTTGGTATTAGTGATGTGCCGCAACTACGATATCGATTTTAAAAGTAAAAATTTAATCAAAGAACCGATGTACTTCGTTTCTTTCTTTTGTGCACCGCACTACACACACACAAACTTTTTAGACGTGTATACGTTTTTAAAATTGCTTCCATAGTAGGAGGCTAAAAGCTATTCAGAAAACTGATGATAGCAAAATTGGGGGATACAGTTTAGTGTTGCAGCTACATATAACATCTACATCCAAAATTTAACAACATCCCTCTATAGATTAATTAAATCTACTTTTATGGATTGCATCGTGTTTATAAAGTCTGCAGTTTGTCACCATATCCTAGACGGCCCCAACCATTACATCATCGCGAAAGAACATCGATTCCTATCAAGGATGATACGTGAGGCTATTGAAATTAAGAAAACATCCTAAATTCAATAGAGAAGAAGGCTGGCTACTACCACCTGCTTG